CAGTCACAGGAGAATTCAAACGTGAGAATTTCAATAAAAAATAAAAAATAAAAAAATTTAAACACCATGAGAAATTGATCCAAACTAAGAATCCAAGCAATTCTTCTAAGTTGTAATAAATAACATCGTTAGTTCCCCGACAACGGCGCCAAAATTTGACCACGCCCAACTATGCCTTGTAAGAAGGACTAAGCGATCGCTGCAAATATAACCCGGTTCAAGTTCGGAGTCGAATCCCACAGGGAACTAACCTATTTACTACAACCTTAAATAATGCTAATGATAAGCTCAGACAACTTCTAGATGCAATAGTCTTATGAATAATCAGTGGAATTTATTTAGCCAAGGAAAAATGACAATAAAATTAGCAATAATCAAGACTAAAATTGAATTCAAGGGTAAAAGAATATAGGGCTATTGATTTCCCCAATTGCCGGATTAATTCTCAACTCTTTAGCTATAATCTCGCCGTAATACTCTATGAGGATTATGAGTTCCGGACTACCGTAATTACCTTTCGATCAATTACGGTAATTTACTAGAAGCATTCTCTCGAACTACTCTAGTTAACAATTTATGCAACTCAGAATCCTCCCACCAAAGCTTCGTTATTTCTAACCCCACTTTTATATTCAAGTAATTAATCTCTTATCTTTCCCAAAAGTGGTGTTGTTCAACAACAATCTAACCAAGTGTTCTTTCTCAAGCAACACAGGATGAATAGACACGATTAATTGAGGGCCCTTTCAATTAACCACAATACAATACATAATTGAACAATCATAAAACAAACACGCCTCAATTATAACAAAATAGAGTCAAGACTTCATCCAACAATTGGTTCCATCAACCCTAGATTACAGATTTAGCTACTCATGCTAATGGAAAACAAATCACTAAAATAATTCATAATCAACAAATAGAAGTATCAAGAAGAAGATGAAAACTCTTACGAATTTTATCTGTCTTCTCTCCCTCGTTCTTGCCTCTAAAATCTTCAAAAAACAGCTATCTCCCACTTCTGGGCGAGTTTAGGTTTCATATAGGTTTAGGTTAGTCGCCTAGGAAATTACATAAATTAACCCTGCGTGTTTGGCTTTCATCCGCCCGTCCACAGCCGCGGATTCGACCGCGGATCCGGCCGCGGATTTGGACTGCTTCACTGCCTTGAGTTCGCGGACCACTCCGCGGCCGCGCACCTGGAGGGGTAGTTTCGCTTGCTTTTCTCGCTCCTTTTCGACCGGGCTAACCTTCGATTGCCCTTTCACATTCTATGTTGACTCCAAAACACTCGTTAGCTCCCTCCTAGCTCGGAGTAGCTCGTGCAAAGTATCAAATTCTTAATTAGAGCATTTTATTATCTTTTAGCATTCAAATATCAATAAAGTGCGGCTAAATTAGAGTGTAAGTGGTGTCTAAATTGCATGAATATAGCCTACTATCAGTCATAAATAACATAACGAAGCTATGAAAAGTTTTAGAATCCGATTCCGACCCCGATATCAAAATGTCAACTCCCGGTCAAACTTCCAAACTTAAATTTCTATTTTAGCCAACGGACCTCCAAGTAATTTTTCGAATACGCTCCTAACTCCAAAATCACAATACAGAGCTATTAGCATCATCAAAATTCTATTCCGCAGTCATTTTTACATAAGTTAACATCTGGTCAACCTTTTCAACCTTGAGACTAAGTGTCTCAATTTGTTCTGAAATCTCTCCGGACCCGAACCGACTATCCTGACAAGTCACATAACAATTATAAAGTATAAAATGAGCAGTAAATGAAGGAATGAGGCTACAACTTTTAAAATGACTGGTCGGGTCGTTACAACGAACTTCTCTTTATGTCTTGTTATCAAATGCATGTAGTTATGAGATCATGCCAAAATGAAGAAAATGTTTAGCCTTAACATACCTTATCAAAATCTTTCCGATAATCACGTTGAAATCGTCTCTTCGCACCTTAATCTACAACAACTATAATAATACTATCATTAAGTTACGAAAGGTACAACTATCACACAACGAATGACAAGCTTATTTTATATTAAAACGTGCAATATCTCCCATAAAATCTTTACTTCCTCCCAATTCGAGATAATCCCAACAACACAAGAATAACAACATATATACATAATTTTTCATCCTTATATCCATCAAAAATACCACAATACAGCTCAACACACCCCAATATTTTCATACGCAAAAGGACCATCATAGTAATGTCAAACAACCCGAAATATATTATGACGAACGACCAGCCCACCACCCTGCATTTATGTGGTATTTCTCGGCACTATTTCTCCTCAATAAACTACATAAAACATTATCAAAACACACAATCTAACAACAACACAAAACAACTCACAAAACAATCCACTACAAGTTGAACAACTGGAACTCACGGCTTCCGATCACCTTCCTGTGAGTTCTTACAATTATAGAACGAATTTCTATACTTTTCCCGCAGCAAAATGGATGAAAGAGATCGGTATACTTACCTTATTTGGTAAATATCTTAGCTCGTATCTTGGTTCCTCAACCCTTAGGTTTTCCTCCAACTAGAACTTTAAAAGAAGAGAAAATCAATTAGGGTTTGTGTTGAATTCTTGGGAGAATTTTACAGGGGCTTATCTCTGGTTTTTATGCTCTATAATGAGTGTGATATATGAAGGAAATAATCCCTCAAAACGGATCTTTGGCCGACCCGAACTGGCCCCTTTTGGACATTTTTAGTCCTCTCATTTAAGCAAGTAGGAGACACACCTACTTGTTACAAATGCAGTATGCACAGTCTTGCAAAAATGCATATATTGACAAACGGTTTACAACAACAACAAGCCAGTATAATTCCACTTGTGGGGTCTGGGGAGGATAGTTTGTACGCAGACCTTACCCCTACCCTGTGGGTAGAGAGGCTGGTCCGACAAACGGTTTAATGAGTTAGAAAATAGACTCATAGATCTTCGATTTGATGGGTGGATAACCCCGTAACTCTAAGCATATTGGGAGAAAAGCTCAGTGACATTTGACCCAAATTTCAGTACAACTTATGAATGTAACTTGTGATGACTTTCATCGACTTTTGTTCCACAACTCGTTTGACTTCAAAACTTAACATATGACTATCATACGACTAAAATAACTCATAAAATAACCCTATTTTCACGTTAAGAACCATAGTCTCACCCCAATGGCGCGACAAAATATTATTTTCTTCAATCCCTTTAGCTTCTGAACCTTCGAAGCCTCTTTGTACTTGTTGTTCATGATCTTCAATATTTGTAACCTCCAAAGTATCATGATTAACTTACTTTATATACTCTCAAGGATGATCTCATTTTTTTTTATAATAGTTTGCTTACGACGTACTTTTACGTACGAAAAATATGGGGTGTAAAAATATAATCAATATATAATCTATGTATATAGTTAGAAAAAGTAAACAGTTAATACGCCTGGCTTTTTTTGTAAAAGTATCATGTTTTTATGACGGTGACGGCCGAGTCAACCTGCTGCACTTCAATTATTTAAATCGAATATTTGTTATTTTTTACCAGTATAAATATCGGGTAAGTTATCCATCAAAACTTAGATAAATATAAAAATTTACCTAATATTTTTTGCATTTGTTGAAACCTTTCTAACCTATATTTGTACCCTGATGAATTTGTTGGGAGAACATTTGTTAACTTGCTTTTGAAAGTTTGGATATAAAAGGTGACTAAAGAGAGAGACAATAGAGTGATGGGAAAGAGTCAAAAGTTCTTTGAAAACAACAAAGATTCAAATGAGGCAAGGAAATAACTCATAGTCCTAGCAAATTATTGTGATTGGTTTTGGTCTTAGTGTAGTTTTAAACTTTTGTTGTTTAAAAAAAAAAGATAAATTGTATCTTTATATTATAGCTTGTTTGGCCAAGTTGTTTTGGGGCCAAAAGTGCATCTTTTGACCAAAAGTATTTTTTTCAAAAATTAAGGTGTTTGGCCAAGCTTTTAGAAGGAAAAAAAGTAGTTTTGAGGAGAAACAGAAGCAGTTTCTGAGAAGCATAAAAAAATAGCTTCTCTCAAAAAGCATTTTTTCTGAGAAGCACTTTTGAGCAAAATACACTTCAAAACAGTTTTTAAAAACCTGGCCAAACACTAATTAATGCTCAAAAGTAATTTTTAAATTAATTAACCAAACACAAACTACTTATCACCTAAAGCATTTTTTTGAAAAGTACTTTGAGAAAAAAATACTTCTCAAAATAAGTTGATTTAGAAGTTTGGCCAAACATGTTATTAGTTTTTTTTTCAAAATATTTTTATAATTCTAAGCAATAATCGATTGTATCCTTCTTAGAATGTTAAGAAGCAACTATCGTGTTTATGTTATGTTAAGCCTTCTTAGAATCTACATCAAAATGGGGTATCTATAATAAATTTTATTTCCTCAATATTCTATCAAAACTTACACAAGTGATAACTGTGGCTTTTCTTATCAACTGATGTTATTCTTACATATCAAAATGCATATATATTAGACATACAAAGGTGCAACAATAATATATATATATATATATAGTCATGTTTTTATATATGTGAAATATGTGCCTAAGCATTGATTGATGAGTAGAATTATTCCGTATTTGACTAGTGGAAAGTGGTAGCAAATACTACATGGAATAGACTAAACACGTGCAAATTGACCAACACACTATTATTATTAAAAATAGTACTATGAAACTCGTTATGTGGTGTATTGTGATATACACACAAAGGAACAGTGGCCATTTATTTGATATTGATGAAATTAACTCTATATAGAGTGAGCAGGGGCAACAAAATAGTTTTTTTTGCTTATCTTGTGGTTCAGAGAAGTGGGGGTTTCAACTGAGACAATAATTCTCAGGGAAGAAATCATTACTAACAATCCTTCAACATAGAGAAAGAATAGTTACTAGTTAGACTATTATATAATCTAAAGTTTGAAATAATTTATTTCTCAATCAGTTTGTTTGGGTGGTGTAGTTTGGTTATCACGCTAGTCTCACACACTAAAGGTCCCTGGTTCGAACCCTGGCTCAGACAATTCCTTTTCCTTAATCATTTTTTACTCTTTTTTGAGACATCCAAATGATACCTTCTTCTTTCGAACAGAAAAAGAGACATTTCTTTGTAGATATGAAATTTTCTTCTTCTCTTTTTAGTTCAAGACTAGTGTTAGTATCGGCGCAATGCGCGGATTATTTGAAAGAATATTAATATTATAAAGTTAGTATATAATATATCATATTATTTTAATAAATATTAGTTCTTATTTTATTATTTATTGTAGTGTACACAAATATAATAAAATTTATACAAAATCAAAGGATACACATCATATAGTAATTAAATAATTTTTTGTTTCTTATTTATTCTTTATTGAATTAGCACGTACTTAGTACTATACATTTACTAATATGACTTTTATTAACTTGTCAATTGATTTAATATTTTGATTATAATTTTTTTTTAATATAACATAGATATATATTTTCTTACTCTATAAATATTCTTATTTTTAAAATCTCATTTTATTAATATTATAGATTAGTTTTTTTTTCATTCTGAATTTTACATATAATCAAAATACTATCATATTTAAATCAAATTATACTTTTGAATTTTTTAAAAATATAAACAAATAAGTAATTTTACTATTTTGTCATAAATTTACTGATATTCTTAACAATTGCTATTTTTGCATTATTTGCCATAAGCAAATGAACTTTTATTTTATCTCAACTCAAATATTTCTATCTATAATTTGAAATAATATTTTTATTTTTAAATTTGAAATCAAATTATTTTCTATATAAGAAAATATTTCTAGTTTTTTATAGATATAGACTGTCATATTAGGAAGAAACTACTCCCCAATTTGAATTGAAAGTTTTGTTTTTCTTATTTTCGTTTTTTATTTTAGAATAATTTTAAAACTCCAAATTTTTTAACTCAAAGAGAGTAACTAATTATTAACAACACATAATGCATAATATAAATTTTTAAAAATTTAAACTCAAAAAGAAAACTAATTATTACCTAACCTAACTAACTTTGTCCTAAATTACTAAGTGGCCTATTGTGAGGCTGTCACTTGGCTTAATGTGGAGGCTTTTTCCTCTCCTTTTAATAATTGATAGGTTATATGTATATCCCTGTTATGTTTTGATGAACTAACAAACTTACTGTCAAGAATCAGATAAGGAACCTGTTACACATTCTCAAGACCTTAAGATCAAAAGGTTCCAGCTTGAGATATGGTTCAACTCTTCAGAATCAAAGGAACGACAGAGGGAACAGATAGCTACTGTTTCCCGAGAAAACTGCACAAGTCAACTCCCCCAGCTGTAAAGTTGCTGCCTGCACACGCATGCAGAAACAATGCAACAATCAACTTTATGAGGAGTGCCTTTTACCTACCTTGCTTACATCATCCTAGTGATGTCACAAATGTATTATTAACATCAAAGAAGGTAAAAAAAAAATTACTTGAACACTTAGAGAATTTACTCGAGCACACTCATTGTGATTGATCATCAAGAAAACGATTCTCAAGTGCATCAAGAACAAAGAACAACACTACTACGGACTAATTTCCCATATCAAGTTATTGTATGTCCTTAGTTGAGTTATAACTTTATAATAGTTCTTCAAATTGTAATTCCTACTTAGCTTGTTTAGAAGCATTGCGTAGGAAACGCTTTGTAAATCACAAACCCTTGTGTTTGTATCTTGGCTAGAGTTAGTCGAGTTGTAAAGTCTTTGTATTAGAGTTATTACAAAGTGGCTTGTAATAGAGTGTTATAAGTTAGTGAGGGATTAAGAGATTAATTCCTAGGTTACATAGGTTATAATCTGAAAGTTACTCAGTAGTGAAGTTGAAATTCTACAAGGGTAGGTCGTGATTTTTTATCCCGTTGAGCTGAAAATTTTTCACGTAAAATTCCTCTTATCATTTACTTACTGCAGTGTGCGTGGTTTCTGTGGGAACTTATATCTGTGAGAACTTATAAAGAACCTGGTTCTATATATAGTTTGGTGGACCCTTAAATTCTATCAATTGGTATCAGAGCAAGTTCTTTATATCAGGCTAATACATAGAAAGGATCCTCATGGCTGCTCCGCCAAACTTTGAAGAAGGTCAGTCTACCTATAGGCCACCAAGGTTCAATGGCCAGTATTATGGATGGTGGAAGACAAGGATGCATAATTTCATCATGGCTGAAGATTCCGAGCTCTGGGACGTCATCTGTGATGGACCCTTTGTTCCCACAAAAAACAGTGGTAACCCTGCTGTAACTGTTCCCAAAACAAGAAAAGAATTTAATGATGCCGACCGGAAAGCCATAAAGAAGAATTTTCGTGCAAAGAAAATCCTTGTCTGTGGTATTAGTCCTGATGAATACAATAGGATATTGGCATGTCAGTCAGCCAAGGAAATCCGAGAAGCTATCCAGGCAACTCATGAAGGAACAACACAGGTCAAGCAATCCAAGATCGACATGCTCACAACTGAATACGAGTTATTCAGGATGAAAGATGATGAATCCATCCAAGATATGCATACTCGCTTCACCTATATCATTAATGAGCTCCACTCTCTTGGTGAAATTATTCCAAGAAACAAGCTTGTCAGGAAAATCCTTAGTGTGCTACCCAGTTCTTGGGAAAGCAAAGTGAACGCCATTATAGAGGCGAAGGACTTGCAGAAGCTAACCATCGATGAACTTGTTGGCAATCTAAAAACATATGAAATGAAGAAAAAGAAGGACAATGAAAGAAGAGAGCCCAAAAGAGAGAAGAACTTGGTCCTCAAGACAAACATCAATGATTCAAGTGGTGAGGATGGTGATATGACTTACTTGACAAGAAGACTTCAGAAGATGGTTTGAAGAAATAAAGGCATTCCAAAAAGGGGGAGTTCTAGCAAGACAAAAAAACTATGACCTCTGTCATAAGTGTGGCAAGCCAGGATACTTCATCAAGGACTGTCGCCTCCTAAAGCAGGATCAATTCAAGCACAACACAGACAAAGCAGCCAAAAGGAACCCGGTTCCTGATAAATGCTTCAAGAGAAAGAATGTCGTTGACAATGTTGTGAAACAAGCTCTTGATGCATGGGGAGATTCCTCCAGTGAATCTAAAGAAGATAATGATCATGGTGACAGTTCAATGATATCAGTAGAAAGTGAAGCAACTGAGTATGACTCCATTTTTGCCTTGATAGCTCAGTCTGACGATGACGATGATGATGACGATGACGATGGCGATGATGATGACGATGATGAGGTAAATTTTTTGGATGTTCAGAGAAATCTGAAATCTTATTCTCCTAAAAAACTAATGTCTTTGGCAAATGTGCTAATAGATGCATACCACAACGTTATAAATGATAAAAATTTTCTAACTGTGGAATTAGGAGAAGCAGAACAATCTAGAGATGACCTGGTAGTCGTTGTGGTAGACTTGAAAGAAACTATTGAGAGTTTGAAAGAAGACAAAGATGCCCTAACTGAAAAAATCACAAATGTAGAACATGGAAGAGATGATCTAGTAGTTGTTGTGGTTGATTTAAAGGAAACAATTGAGTGTGCTAAGAAAGATAAAGAGGTCTTAATTGAAAAGGTTGCTAGTTTAGAACTTGAGAGAGATGACTTAGTAGTAGTGGTAGTTGATTTGAAGGAAACCATTGAGAGTGTAGAAAAGGAAAAAGATGTCTTAACCAAAAGAGTTGCAAATGCTCAGCTTGAGAGAGATGATCTACTAGCTATAGTAGTGGATTTGAATGACACTATTAAGGCACTAAAAGGTGAGAGTAGGTATGAGACTCTTCACAAAGATTAGGAAGTTGCTAATGAAGTACATCTTAGGCTTGAAGATGAGATGAATGCAGTGAAGTCTAGACTTTGTGTTGAACTTGAGAAGAACAAACAACTTCAGGAAGAACTAGGAAGAGTCAAGAGTGATCTTGAAAAGTCACTCAAATGGACCTGGTCCTATGATTTTATCACTGCCATGTACATTAATAACAAGGGGAGCAGGCAGGGAATTGGGTTTTAAAAGGAGAAGACTCTTTACAACCCTCATAGCAAGTATGTTATTGTACCCGACAATTGGCTTTGTACTCACTGTAGTAACAATGGGCACCTTAAGGAAACCTGCAAGGCTAGGGTTCAGTCTCAATAGAAAAATAAAGTTTTTGCTAAGAATATAACTACTGCTAGAGAACCTGGTCGCTCATATAGAAAACGCATGATGCCTGCCTAGACTAAAAGAACACTCATTCATCCTTTTCCTCACTACAAGGGACCCAAACTTGTTTGAGTTCCTAAATCTAACCCTTAATTTCCTTGTGCATGGAGCAGTGAAGGGGAGCAATCAACAATGGTACATGGATAGTGGTTGCTCAAAGCACATAAGTGGAAACAAAATCGATTTTCTTTCACTGAAAGCCCTACAAGGAGGGAGTGTATCCTTCGGAAATGGCAAAAAATGATACATTCTGGGAGTTGGAAGGATTGAGAAGTCACTCACTCACTCAATTGAGAATGTGTACTATGTCAATGGTTTGAAGTACAACTTGCTAAGAGTTTCCCAAATCTGTGACAAGGGAAACAATGTGGAATTTGTGTCACAAATATGTACAGTCACAAACCTAGTGACTGGTGAGGTGGTGCTAGTAGTAAAAAGATACAAAAATATATATGTTGCTGATTTTGAGTCTCTGCAGAATGGTGATCTCAACTGTCTAAGTGATGTTGATGATGATGTTGAATTTATGGCATAGGAGGCTGGATCATGCAAGTTTCACGTTACTGAACAAATTGGTCAGGAAAGACCTGGTTCGTGGTCTGCCCAAGTCAAGCTTCAAGGATCACAAAGTGTGTGATGCATGTGTAAAAATCAAGCAAGTTAGATCCTCATTCTAGCCCAAAAAGGAAGTCAGTACCTCAAGGCCACTTAATCTTCTTCACATGGATCTATGTGGACCTATGAGGGTGGCAAGCAGGGGAGGAAAGAAATATATCTTCGTTATAGTTGAC